AAGAGAAAAAGTTTTATGTAAGTATACTATATTTTCAAATTTTTAAATTGTGTTTTTTAATAAAATAAAATAATTTTTAAAATAAATAATTAAAATGTATATAGTAAATATAATTTATTAAAAAAAATTGAAAAAGATTTTAGAATCAATAATTGCATTAATTTTTGAGATTTAATTATTTGTATCATAATTACATAGTGAAATAAATATTGAACCATTTAAATGATTATAATAGCATTTGTTTAAAATAAATATCAAAAAAAATTTTTTTTCTTGGTTCAGTCGTCTTTTCAAATCAATTGTCTAAGTTTTTAAAAAAATTATCTTTAATCACTAGTGTATGAGAAGTGATAATGCCGGGGAATTTGCTGAAGTACCCTTCCAAAATTAGCCGAACTACATATATTAGATGGCAGGACAATTCAATTTAAAATATTTTTCGAATAAAATCACAGTTCTAAAGCAATGAACCGTTACAGATTATATATTCGTGATCTCGTTATAATCATGAAGAAAAGTGACTTTAATATCAGATCGACTATTTGGCTTGGGGGAGGGTGATCGAAAATCTGGGATATTTACCTCATAAGGCCTCGAACCTTTTCTTCGCTTTGAATACTGAAGTGGCTGCAATCTAAATTCAAACTATCAAATAGGTTTGGATGTTTTTTGGTAAATTGATTGCACTACAGATAATAAAGTTCTATTCAAAAAAGATACCTGATCTTAAGGGACAACTAAAGCGAGTCATGGAATCTTCGAAAAAGTGCTGGTTTTACACTAAAATATCTGATTGATGGAGAGAGAACCTCAAAAATTTTAGAGCGTCATTGGTTATGGATCTCTGAATAATTACATCGATCCATTAAAGCCGAAATGAAATTATCCCAAGCTCGTAAAGTGATTGAATTATTGAGATTTATTACAGTCAACCTTTGGTGACTTTAAATCAATACCGATTACAACTAAATAACTTAAGCACAGGAACTAGTATGAATAAAGGCATTCTAAACCCATCAAATGAAACCTTAAAATACTTGATACAAAATTGAACCAAAATTATCGGTAATTGATCAAGCTGAGAACCTTCTCGATCGTAAAAAGTCGCCATTTTTCCACCAATATTTCTTAGACTCTGGCAGTCTAGGTTCAAGACATTGAGATTACACCCAGTTTAAGATTCTCTTTCAAAAACCAAGTTATATTTGTGCAATATTCTAATTTGGTACTTTCGAGATTTTTGGTGTACCCGAAAATGGAAACCCGTGTGATTTCTCGTGGGGAAAATTCAAGGAATTATTTTTAGCTTAAGAAATAAGTTCATTTTAGGTGGACACTGATACCAGGCGGTTGGGGTTCCTTTTTGCGACACATGTTACTTCTCTCTTCTCATTCCATTTCATTATACAATTTGGAGGTTAAAGACAAGAGCGTAAGATAGGTTATAATCCGAGCATGTTTCAATTCAATTAGCAAAAATTTTTTGCGAAATCTTTGACCCATTAGTGATTTTTGTCTTTGATTTCCCTTTCTCAAACCAGAATTATTTGCTGGAAATCAGTGATATTTGGTGGTAATACAGATAATATTGGGTAAGCTTAAAATGAAGGCGCCTTTTGAATCGATAAACGAGTAAAAGTTTTGCATGTCAGACCTAAGAAACAGTTTTATCTGGCAGATGCCAATAAACGCTCTCCGGTGGATCTGAGAAATTGGCATTCTTTTCCCACTCTTCAGTGTTGGGGGAAGAATTGACTACACATTAAAATTTAGAGTATGTAAATATTTTCTTTTACCAACTTGATGTAAACACTAGTTGGAAGGGGATGACATTCTTTTATAATGCTAAAAATAGTTCTTACAAACTTTTAGCCTTTAAAAATGTTTTTTTTTTCAATTCTTCCCAAATATGTTCAACAGAGTCAAACAAATGGGCCAAGTTGGAATTGTCTTTGTTCCAATTAATGAAGGAAATTCTTTTATTAAGCATTTGGAATCCATATAGTTTACCGAAATTGCAAGATTTTATAGCACCCCAATAAATGCTGAGATCACAAGATCGATAAAGTAATAGAATTTTTTCGATTTAGAATGAATGTTCGCTCTTTTATTCCACGAAAGAAACCTTTAATTTCGATTGAAAACCACATTTAAAGGCTCGATTTGCTAAAAAAAATTCGGATATTGGACTGCAAATGACTGGAAAAAAGTTATTTAGTCAGATGAATCAACATTTTCACAATTTAAAACTTCAGGATTGGCGAGGAATTTCATAATGATTGTTTTAAATGTAAAGCAAGAATGTTTTGGTTTGTTTTCATGGATTGTTTTAGAACCTATCGTTCCATTAAATGGGTTTAATTAATGGTATTACTCATTGTGAAAATTTTAGCTAATCATGCTATACCAACTCTTAAAAAGAAGTTTATCTTTCAAGACAACGGGTGTTGACTGATACGTATATTGCAATATAATATAAAATTTGTCATAAATTATATAGAATTAAAGAAAAGGAATTATGGGGGTTTCACTGAATATGAATGGTAATGAGAAAATTATGTTTATTTGAAAATATCAAAAAATTATTTAATCAATAAAGATAATGCCTCAGTAATTATCTTACTGGCTTGATTCAAATTATGTGCCAAAGAATAAATTTATATGAAATTCACCAATTTTTTCAAAATGACTTACATTACAATACTCATAAGAAGGATGTCAAAGACTTATTAAGAAAATATGAAACTCATTTGTTAAAAAAAAATTAATCAAAAAGCAAAGAAAATTACAAATTATAGCCTTGTAGTATTGTACATTACAGTCATTATTGAATGCATATCATTTTTGAATCAACGGAGAAATAAGACCACAAAAAAAATTCAACAAATATTTATTTGTTACTAATAAGGAATGGTACAGCCTATAACGCCACAATTCATATGGAGAATGTAGTCCTTCGAGATGGGAATCTAGCATTTGATGCAAATTAAAATAAAGGAAACACTAATCAAAATTATAAAAGAGAATAGTTTTAAGTAAGAGTTATTGGAAAAAAAACACGTTTTTCAAAGAGCACGCCTCTCTAAAATTCAATTATTCACTCAATGAGTGTTGTTAAGAAATAATTAAAATATGGAGTATATTCAATTTCTTAAGACAGTAACCAAGAACAAAAATTTGGAATTGAAAAACAATATCATTAGTTTTTTAGAGACGGGATAAATGTGAAAAATTTTCCTATGAAAAGCTTCGACTCATTTTCCTTTTTTTAAACCAAAAAACTAAGTCATTTACTTTTAAGGTCGAAAAAAATACTGACAAAACTGGTGTAAAACTCCCAAAGCAATACATGCATAAGAATGGGCGAAGATCTTGCCGCTCATAATCGAATTCAAAATTTTGAGGCGTGGGTCATATCAATAAAAATTTTAATCAAAGACTATAAAAAGTTCAATTCAAAAAATCTTAATCAAAGACTGTTGATGAAAATTCTAGAAGCCTAATTTTAGCATTCTAACGGCCCTGAAACCAAAAAAAAATCATTTGAATTGAGGAAACTTAATTTAACAATTTTATAATCAAAATTCAAGCCACCTCGAAAACTATTTAACCAAACGGTTTTGCCTTTAAGATTTTTTGGCAACCAAAATTCAATTTCTTGTTTCAAATTAAGGCTCATTCTTAAGTAGGAGATAGTCTTGAAGGAAGATTAAGCAAAAGATTTTTCTTTGAAAAAAGTTTCTTGGAACTTGTATAACTTTTACCTTTTCGAGATCCACTTAATTTTCAAAAAATGAGTTATTTGGAAAATTCTTTTCCTAATAAAAATTCAGCTCCTGATCAATATGAAGTTAATATTTCATTGCAAGAATATCCTAAGCCCCCTTTCCCGCCCAATATAATTCCAGAACAATTGATTACGAATGCCCTGGCGAAACTGGAAAAAACGGGAAAGGTATCCCAAATACCAAATGCCTTCTTGATTTACAGATTGGTTTTGAAAAATGAAATGGTAAAGAAAAATATTTTTCTTGGCATGCGTGAATTATCTGGTATTGCTTCGAAACTCTGGAATGAAGAGCCTGAAAATGTTAAAACATATTATCAAGAACTTTCTAATGAAGCAAAAACATTATTTCAAAACTTCTGGCAATCAACCTACTCACAAGTCCAAATGATGGCTGATTCGCAAACATTATCCAAGGAATTTGTATGGAAAAATGACCCATACCAACAAGAGGCGATTAATTTTAACCTGGGTCACGATGAAGTTGAGTCGTTAACAAAAATCAATTCCCAATCCGAACTTGGGCAAACTTCCACAAGTTCCGAGTTCCCCAACTTATTAAAAAATATACCTCATGTTGAAAATCATCCTGGCTTTTCATTATTTACCGGTTTAAGTCCTAAGGCAGAAAATGTTTCAATACCAGATCAGGAATCGAAAAATCTAGAGTTTTTCCAAGATGTCCCTAATTTAATATTACAATCTGATACTTTCGGTGAAGAATTGAATCTTCATCATAGAACAATGCTCCTCGAGCAACTAGTTTTGAGCACACTTTCTGGTAAAAAAGATCCTTTCCTTGTTGATTTCTCGGCGAATAGCATTGTAGATCGGGTTGCTAACCTTGAAAATTTGATTGCTCAACTAATTTGGAATGGTTTAGAATAAGCAATAGCTCGAATTAATTGCCTTATTAAAACCAATATGAAAAATTATATGTAATTAAAATAAGTTTAGTTTAAGCAGTTTAAATCTTTTATAAATTTTACACTACTCAAGCTCTATGAATAAAGAAAAATCTTTTCTAAAATGGATTACCTTGGAGTAATTTTTCTTTTTCTTTTTCTGATTGGAATTATTCTAAAAATAGATTTTCTTTAACTCTGAAAATTTCTCCACGTGTATATTGTACCGCTTTTTTGATGTATTACCTACCCCAAAAGTAACACGCAGTGTATCAACAAAAGGTTTGTCAATAAAAACAATTCTTTTAGGCCCTCGCCTGGAATTGAACCAGGGCTTTAGCGATCAAGATTTGCTATGTGCGTCGACTACACTACGAGAGCGATTTACATTATAAGAGTTTCTTATAAACTAATAAATATAAAGATAAAAATTATAAAAGCATGTTTTACGAAACGGTCTCTATTCTTTGGGGCCACATTCACTAAATAAAATTAGATCTACATCAACGTCTTAATTAAATCACCGTCTAAAAATATAAAGTCGAAGACTTTTAAATAGAAAATAGGGGCTTTTTGAATTTGGTAAGCACGTTTTGGCTTTTTTATTTATGGTTGGGTAATCCACAAGGTCAATATATTACGCAATATAAAAGATATGTCATCTTTCATATTACTTTTTATATACCTTCTTATTCGAAGTTGTGGAAGAACGAAAACTTTGACGAGAAGTAAAATTGAGCTGAAATGGAAAATTCTCAATTAAATAGTTTACATTGATTCCTCTTTTTGTCAGTTCCTAACTTTATCATACAAATAATTGAAAATTTTATGGATGTCATTTTTAGCTTTGAAAGAAACCATTCCTTGTGCATTTCGGAAATCGTCAAGCAAGCCACATTAGATTACTTGAAAAAAAAACTTAATTTAAAAGACGATTTAGCCACAACCGTTCATATTGAGTGTCTGGACCTATTATTATAATTCCCTCAAACAACGTTATTCATATCTATTTATTTTTTGAGAATTTCATTTTTCAGCCCTTCTTGAAATATAATACAATTGAATATGAATATTTTTTAAGAAATCGTCTTTTGTTGACCTAAATAAATATATAGTTAACCTGTGATTTTCAAATAACTTTTTTGCATTTTAATTAATTTTCCAAGTAGAAAATTCCTTTCTGTGTTGTGAAATGGAATTTCATTAAAATTCACAAAGATTGATGCGCTTTGTTCAAAAAAAGATTTTTAGAATACTAAGCATCGGTTACAATTTGGTGGGAAAGACTGACACTAAACTAATTACTAACTCCGAGATCCCATTGTTTTTTCTCAATTTACAAAAAATAATTTTTTAGTTTCTGACTTTTCAATTATTTTTTTCGAAATCATTCTCCTTATTCAAAATGTTTTAAAATCGAGAGAACCTATTATTTTGATTTTCTTTAATTTTATTCCACATTTCAGCTCAGATTTTTTTAGGCATGCTATTGATTAGGCTCAGAATATTTTCAATAAGAATTGCCTTTTATTTATATGTGGTAATAAAAAGTTTTTTCATCCTCAACAGAAAATAATTTTACTGGTATTATATTTAATTAAAAACTGCAAGTTTTTTTCTTATTATAATATATATTATTATATGTTATCTTAAAATATGATTTATTATTTTAAACAAGTTTTTTAATGTTTAATTTAATAGATTTTAAATTATTTTAAATTAATTTTTCATTGTTTTTTATTCATTAATAGTTTTATAACAATTATAAATAATATTGATAAAAAAAATATTTTAATAATTTAATCGAAGTTGTAAATAATTTTTGTATAAAATAAATATATTATTAATATATATTAGTTATATTTTAATTGAAATTTTGTATTAATATAATTAAATTTTGTAATTATAAAAATATAATTAGAAAGAATTTTTAAATATTTATTTTAAATTAATTTAATAAAATTAATTAAAAAAGTTTAAAATTTTATAAATGCTTTTTTTTTTTATAATTTGGTTTAAAATTAAATTTTTATATTAAATAATTTTAAATATTAATCTTAAAATTTCATTTTAACTTTTTAATTCTTAATATAATAATTTAAAATAATAATATTTAATAATAATTAATAATAATAATATTTAATATAATAAAAATATTATGTTAATTATAAAACATATTTTAGAAATAGTTTGTTTAGATATGACTGTTTGTTAAATTTCTTTTTATTTTAAAATTATAATTTGAAAACTTTATTTTACTATTTAATGTTTTATGAAAAACAATGACTATAATGATTTTTTGTTTTATGAATTTATCATTAGAAAAAAAACATAATAATATTTTTTGTTAATCATAAACTAAAATTAATCTATCAAATTATATTAAAATATTATGTGAAATATTCAGTTACCTTATCTATAACATCTATCATGGAATTTTCATTCGAATTCGCGCCGACATAACACAATATTGATCAATTAATATATTTCATAGTGTTTTAATAAACGCCAAAAGTCTTAATATTTATTTTTATGTGCTCAATATTTTGAAAATGGAACAATTAAATTCTTAATTAAGTATTCGTTCAATTAAATTCATTTCACTAATATGATTAAGTTAATGCAGGTATTATTAAAATTTTCATATTTCGTTAAAGGCTAAGATTTCAAAAGCATCAATTTTTCATGGTCATCGAATTTCCTAATGTGGATTTTCTTCCAAATTAATTTCGAACCTCTTATTAACTTAGATTTCATAATACAAGAACAGATGCATCATTGGAAAATTTTAAACTAACCCAATTATAGAATGCTTCAGTTGGTTAAAATTACTGTGAAAGCAGAGGCACATGTGATGATTTATTTTAATATACCCTCAATACAAATTTCAGGAATATTTTTACGAAAAAATAAGAGGTATCCTTTGTACAATGTTTATTTACAAAAGGTAAAAGATTGACAACTAGAGTAGATTTTTAAGAAAGCGAAGATGCAGTTTTATATTATACGAAGGGTCATTTACAAGGATGGATGTTGGAAATTGCAAAGATTTACAGTTGTACTCGGTTAACAGTGAATGCATTTTAGGGTTTATATGTCAATTAAAAATCTTTAATGGATTGGGGTCCAGTATTCACATTATGATTTCATCATCGAAGTCGGCAATAAGCCATAATTGTGGCAAATTTTCATCAATGTCGTCGTCATCATCTAAGTATTCTTCATCATCGCTGTGCAGAACCTCGTAATGAGCCGTCGATTCCAAATTTGTTTTTACATTTGTACAGGAATAAACCTTATTTTGATCCTCCTCTAGGGAATATAAGAGTCTTTGAAAGACGTAAGTTAGGGAGAACACGCCGATTGACTGGTAAAATGATTTTGAAAATTTGTAAATAATATATCAACGAGCTCATTTGATCAGTGTATAAAGCAAAAAATCTTGCTCACCTGAATGAGCCTGGATATAAACATTATCATGGCCACGTAATAAAGCTGCGGCCCAAATCGTTGAACCATCATTAGACCGCATGAAATATCAAATGATTCTGGTATTTCAACAGGTCGATCGATTATTGATGCAAATCCTTTACATGAAAACTGCCAAATAAGGATCATAAGTAAAGTGACTAATCGATGTAGCTACGCAAGGCAAAGTTGCGAATTAAAAGACAATTTTACCTCATACTGAATATCTTTGAGAAGATCTTGATTATTTTCGTATGCTATCTGCCAGGCGCCGTTGATGCTGCGTGCGATTGCCCGATTATTATAAAATACGGCATAAAAAGCCAGGAAATTTTGGAGTGCTGTTGATGCTATAAGAAAAGCCGAGATCTATTGGACAATAGGAAGAGTTTTATTGTTCCGGTTATGGAAATATTGTGATACAGAACAATTGTAATGATGGGTAAAATAAAATTCGTAATTATAATAAGGATACAAATTGTCCGATAATTTTGTTTCGATGCGCTAATCCCGATATTCCTAGCATTGTTATGATCCAGATACAAGCCATAAAAATGTCATCACCACTGAAAGCAATAGAAGGCGCTACTACGATTCCAGTTGGAATTTTTGGACTCTTTTCCACCGACATTATTGGGGATATTGATGTATTTTTGCCAGGATTTCTGGCACTGGAAAGTATCGCAGACGGTATCTAATGAAAGTATTGTGAAAGAGCGAGCATGGGTTTTAGTTATTTATTTGTCAAAATATTGCCCCATATCAATTGGAGTAGTTAAAAGATTTCGATCAAAGTACTCACAAAAGTCAAGAAAATTGCGATAGGAAACAATAGCCACCGAAAAAGTGGCAGTTTTTTTTGCAAGCTGGCCTTGACATAGCAAAGTGAGGTGATTTTAGAATTTTCTGTTTTGACAAAGCTTGACATGATCATTGTTTCTAAAATATTCTTTATTGAAATTGTGGTAAATGTATATTGTCAAAAATGAATATAAGTTTATCAAGAGAGAAATTAAATTTTTCTAGCGATATGACTTTATACGAGGAAAATGATTTTTTAATAAAAGTTCCACAGATTGATCTGACTTCAAAGAGGACAGAAAGCGAATTGATGCTGGCTTTATGTAGGCACGGGATGAAAATTTACCAAGTAATCAACTAGGAAAGGCATAATATGAAAGCATGGGAAAAAACTTATTTTCATGAACGGTGTGGTCGATCTATAAAATGCCCCTAGGCGGTGAATGAGACAAACACTAAAGATAAGGTGATTGTCTAACTGGATCATTATCATCAATAATATATATCGTCATCGTCGCCGACTCGCCGTTAGAGGAATATATCACATCAGATGTTATATCAAAAATTATTATGTAAGAATTCATATAAATATTTAGTCCAAAATTTGGTATAAATATTTTCGCAATTGTGATTTCTCAATTTTCCATGCGGACCAATCGCCTTTTTCTCGTTGAATCGAGAAAGAAGGCTGATTAATGCAGATAAAACGTCAGACTTTTTGGGATGAACCGTATGACGACGTTCCCCGCACCTGCAAATCCTCTAAATATTTAAGTTCACACTGCACAACATTTTGTAAATTGATGCAAGACGAGAGATCAAGAGACCAAACGTTTCAAGTTTCATTACCTGTTAGGTTGTCAGGAATGGATACGACATGATTCACGCATTAACTGCTGATTGCTGTATTCGTCAAGTATTACAGGAGATCCCCTTCGGATTTTAAATCCTCTCTTGTTTACACAACCAACCAATAATGAAATCTGTATTAATTCGATTAGATATGGTGTTCGGGTGCGGAAATCATAAAATGAATTTTTGATGAAGCTGGCTCCCCAAAGATTGATTTATGATTTTTATCAGGATATATTGAAAAGAATTGGTTGTATATT